CGCAGATCCGGCGACCCGCGGACTTGGCATGGGCCGACAGGCAGGGCAGGACCTCACCTCGGCGGGGCAGCCGCCCCCCACGCCGTAGCGGCTTTCGAGGCGCTCCACCATCAGGTCCTGCCCGGGCGGCTTCACCACCCTCGGCTCCATGGCCGCGGCTGCCGTCGTCTCCCTGGCAACGGCGCGCGGCCGGGCGGGGCGGGCGCGGCGGATTTGCGCCGTGACGCACGGCGCGCCGCGCCGCCGCCGTCTCTCCGGCAAAAGCGCGGCCTCTGGCGCAGGTCCGGGCTCGCGGGCCGTGGGGGCGCGTTGCGGGCCGGCGCGCGGGTCTCTCGTGTTTTCCTTTCCTTCCCGAGGGTCGCGCCGAGGGGCAGCCCGCGCGGGTCCGTCTCATAAGCGCTCGAACCCATCGGAAGCAGCTGTGAGACACTAATCTTGGAGAAGTCGGTTTCGGCCAAAGCATTCGTTACCAAGCTTGTGAGTCCACAGTTGTAATCTTTGGGGCGCCTCCGAGTGCCTCCCGCAGCCTGGAATCCCTGGGGAGGCGCCCGGAAACGTGACAGGAACCAGTGTCCCCGCCAGGCAGCTGCGCGCGGGGACCCGCATGCATCCACCCACCCACCCCCCCCCCCGCATACACACACACACGCACACACACCCACACTCGGAGGGTCGGGGCCGTCCGCCGCTCCCGGCACACGGACCCCACGTGACCCCCGCACTACAGGCGGTCAGCAGGTGCTGTCCCAGGACTGCCTGTTTCCAAACCCCAAACGGCAGGACAGCCCCACTGCCTCACTACCCGAAATGAGGCGGCTCCGCTGGAAAGAACCCCGGAGGGCAGAAGGCACCGCCGGCAGAGGTTGGAATACGCAAAACGTGCTCTCCCGGGGTGCCCTGTGGTGCCACACGAGTAAGCTGATGAGAACGTCCCCCGTTTTCTGTCGAACTTTTGACACTAGCCATTTCCAAGTAAGTTTTCAGTGTATACCCAAATGGAAAACAGTCCTCTCCTTGGGAGCTCTGGAAAATTAGGTGGCAGTTTAAGTTTACGGATCTTTATCTCCTTACTTTGGTTCCAGAATGAAAAAACAACTAGATGCACAAGTAATGAATATTTTAAATGTCATGGCTGTTAACAATTGTCACTTTATTTTTGCTACAAAATTCACCAGAAAAAGGTACTGCAACAATCTAGTATAAACCAAATCTTTAACCAAAGCACATGGTATAGACCTTTTTAAAATACTCATACTTTATCACAATAACTGCAAGGAAAAATTCAAGTTCTATCAGAACCAAATGCAGTTTGAGGTAGTAGAAATAGATGACAGGTTTTTTAAAAAGTCTAAATACTCAACTTACTTAAAATGTAAAAATTAATTTAATACCTTGGGAAGAGCACAGGAAGCTACATAACATTTTAAGGAAAAAAGGTACTGTTAGCTATACAAGAGGTGCAAGAATTTATAGAAGAGCACTTTGGTTAAGTCTCTACCCTCTGGCTCTACCCACTCACAAGTGAATATTTATAAATGAGCACACCAATAGTGAAAATTACCAAATATATTCCAAATCTGAAATAAAAACTATCCAAGTCATGGTCCCTTTATCCAAACAATAAGTATATCCATGCAGGAAGTCTAAGAAGAAATTAAAGTTTAAAGTTTAGTTTAGAAGAAACTAAAATTGCATATATCATATTCCTTTAATAGTTTGAGAAGGTCTATTGCTTTTAACAAGATTAGTATTACTCCATTTTAATACAAATATGTCAGGAGTACATAAACACAAGTACACCTGAAATACACCAGTGTTTAAACTTTTATTTCACACCATGCAAGGTCAATTATAACACATTAAAAAGTGACAACAGCTATAAGCTGCAATTTTATATTTATACATTGGAAATGTCCATTTTCAAAAGCTGAACATAATTACCATGTTGTCATAACAGCTAGGCTTCAACTGTTTATACAGGTAAAATCTACTATGAAAAACAATGATTTTATATCTGTCCACATTCTGTGATAATAATTCTTCGACTAACAGACCCTTCAAGAGAACCAAAGGATTCAATCTTTTTCACAGTATCCATGCCATCTTTAACAAACCCAAATACTACATGCTTAAAGTCCAAATGCTCTGCTTTTTTCAGTGTTATGAAAAATTGAGAATTATTGGTATCCTGGCCTTGATTGGCCATGGATAGTAAGCCAGGACTGGTATGTTTCATATCAAAATTTTCATCTTCAAATTTATCTCCATAAATGGACCGTCCTCCTGTTCCATCGTGTTTGGTGATATCTCCCCCCTGAAAAAAGATTTCAATTAACAGGAATCCCAAATAAAATGTTAAAAATACATACAGAACCACTAAAGGGTAGGTCCTAAACACCCAGCTTCTTTGAGAATGCAGTCTGAAAACTAAGAAATACCCACTCATGAAAGAAGACAAAAAATGAAAAGATCTTTTTCCCACCCTCGATTTCCAGCAGGTTCAAGGCATTAAAAATATGAACCATTTTAGGCTGAAAGTTCTTTTGGGGACAGAAGCTGGGGGTGTGGAAATGCTAAAGAAGTCTAAAGAAAATAATAAGTGAGGAGAAACACCCAAATTTCCCAAGTTGGTGTGCTGCACTTTTCTAGACACCCATTGTGATGTACAGTTAAGACTTACGTGGCAAACAAAATCTGGAATCACTCTGTGAAAAATGGAGTTCTTGAAACCAAAGCCCTTCTCTCCAGTGCACAGTGCTCTGAAGTTCTCAGCAGTTTGAGGAACAATGTTTGAAAATAATTCCATGGTTATACGTCCCAGAGGCTCATCATCTGCGCAAACATCAAAAAACACCACAGGATTTGTCTCCTTTGCTCTCGGTGATACCTGTTCTTTCTGTTGTTCCTGGGGTTTCAATAAATTCTGTTGACATTCTTCAAATTTTTTCTTAAAACAATCGGCCATTTCTTTAGTTTTAAATCTCACTGCAAGCTGTTCCACTTTGGCTTCTCCATCTATTAAACAACAAACAACACAGTGACCTTTGTGTTATAATAACTGTTATAAATTGTTTCATTCGTTATAAATTATAAACTGTTATAAATTGTTATAACAGTTATAAACTGTTATAAATTGTTTCATTCGTTATCAATTTTAGAAAAATCCCCAAACCGGAAAGAGGCATTTGAGTGTAGAGCTCACCAGCATAGTCTGAGGCAGTCCAAACTAAAGCATTGTTGGAAACATTCAAGGGTTTCAGTTCCATTGTTTTGGTGATGACGTGGTTCGCACACACTTTGAGCACCTGGTCTCTTCTCATCAGGACCCGGTAGTAATTCTTCATCGTGTGCCAGAGGATCTTCATGTCTCCAACCCCACGCTCCTTCCACTGACTGGCCTCTCGATCCCACCTGTAAAGCTTGGCTCTCTCTTTAAATAAAATTTCTTCATCTTCTTCTCCAGATTTTACTTCTACCTGTGACAGGACATGAAATTATCTCTAAGATGCTGCTTATAAAATATTCCATAACAAATTCCAAGATCCAAATTCCTTAAGACACTGGCATGAACAGAATTTGAAAACAGTTAACATCCTGGGGTTACAAATGCATCTGATTTGGATGAGGCAGGAAAAATTTGTCATTACACATTTTCCTTTTATGTAACATTCTTCCTCACTTTGGAAACTAAATACATTCTTTTACAAGAGAGGTTTCAAAAAAGTGCTTGTTCTTAAATATTATCTACTGATTGAGGTTGAAACTGATAAAAGTAATTTGCCTAAAACAACATTCTTGTCCAGAAAAAGTACAATTTACTTTTTATTCAAAGGACTGTGGCAAATATGAGATTAGACGTTGGTTGGGTTTTTTTCTTTTGCCCCCAGAATTACGTTACTGAAAACAAACATGAAAAAATTAAGTTCTTCCCAAGGATTTCATATAGAATTTACCAAATAACATTTGTATGTAAATTTCTTTAAAAAGACTATTTGAGGGTTTCCCTGGTGGCACAGTGGTTGAGAGTCCGCCTGCCGATGCAGGGGACACGGGTTCGTGCCCCGGTCCGGGAGGATCCCACATGCCGCAGAGCGGCTGGGCCCGTGGGCCATGGCCGCTAAGCCTGCGCATCCGGAGCCTGTGCTCCGCAACGGGAGAGGCCACAGCAGTGAGAGGCCCACGTACCGCAAAAAAAAAAAAAGACTATTTGAACTTAAAGGCTGAACTTCTAATAAAGAGCTTCCATTTGAAACGGTCAATGTTCTGAAAGAAATGCTAATAAGGCCAGCCCTACAAATCAAGCCCATGTCAAGTTTTAAACTTAAAATGTGAAGTTATTAGTAAGGTTTTCACTCTGTAATATTTACCTCTGGCAATGACACTATTGGTTCAAAATGGATATCTTCATTATGAACCACCTCTTCATCACTACCATCTTCATCTTCGCCAACTTTACTGGTTGACTGTGCTCCGAACACAGCTGCTCCAGTATTTGCCCACTGGAAATTTTTATCTGATGAATAAATTAGGATACTTAAACAGTGCTATCTATTTTAATAAGCTCTTAGTCCCAGTTAGATTACTTTATGAATGAATCTAATTTCCAATGATGTAACATACTTCTAATAAAAATGTTTAAACTTGTACTCTTCTGCCATATTAAACTCATGTGGTGAGTACACAGGACTTTTAGTAACGTTTATGCCTGGATATACAGATACGGTCTAGGATCGTCTGAGCCTTAGGTCTTCATGATACGGAACTACAGAAGAACTTTCAGTAATGAAGCAGGTTCTTAATTAAAAGTACGTACTTTGAAACTCTGAAAACCCAGCTAAGCTCCAAAGGTAGTTCATTTCATAAAACATTCTATCACATGAAAAATATAACTTTTGAACCTAAAACTGTTCTCAAAGAAGCCAAATCTGCTACTTCCGTATTAGCCGAAGCAGACTAAACACGCTCATCACTTCTCTACCTCAACTTCCTCCCAAGCTAACTAGAGCTGGAGCTTAAACTTCTTGGCCAGGTGGCACTGGCAGCCTTGGGAGAAGCTGACCCCCACTGTCCTCAAGCAATACTAGGCTTAACTTAGTTAAGGGGTGAAAAGGCTCCCCACTCCCACGCAGAGGAACACAGACTTTTACTCT